CCTTGAGACTCTATACATGTGGTGATGTTGATTTTGCGTATCTTTTTCCTGAATCTCTTATGAAACTTATAGAAACTGAATCACTACCTTATCATTCACTGAATAAGTGCGTTGTCGAACATCAATGTTATATATATTTGCTGAGTCTTTTATTGTTTATCTTTTGTTTAATACTAGCGTGCTTGAAACATACATATCCTTAGTACAATTCGTATTCGACTTTCATTATCTTACATTGTATAAACGTGATTTGTCGATAAAGTGTATACGAAGAAAGCAGGATATACATTTCATAAAATCATTATCGCTCAGTCATAGTGGAGTCCAGATGAGCACCGAAGAATCATTACCTCTGAATGCATGTAAAGCGTATCAAGCAAGAAATTTTTAATATAAAAGGTTTTTGACTTCTCAAGTTTTTTGATGGTTGGATTGATAGTTGAACAATCAAAACCTATTCACAGAAGTTACCCTTTATATTTCAGATTTTTCATTGAATGATTTTCTAAGAATTTCAGGTTATTTAGTTGAATGGCATTTATTCATCGAAAGAAAATTTCAAACTGAGCATTGATGAAACTTTTTTTGTTTACATTAATCAGATTCACAGAGAATATTCAAAAAACGAGGAGTATCTCAGTGAAAAAAATGCATTTGACAAATCTATTTCCATGCTCTACGGTAATAAATCCATGGATATTTGATGACAATAGCCAATACATAACGGTATATATATATATATATATATATATATATATATATATATATATATATATATATATATATATGTATATATATACTTACCACCGACAAATAGATGACATTTTAAACCTGGTATATGACTGGCTAATCGTTCAATAACCATTTGTGATTGAAATGCAATTTCCCGAGTTGGTGACAAAACAATTGCTTGTATAGTAGGTCGTTTTACATTGATTGCTTCCAAAATAACTACAGCAAAAACAACCGTTTTACCGGTACCAGATTTAGCCTTTTTTCCGATATTAAAAAAACAGGAAATACAGAGAGATGAAAGGAAATTATAAAAATAATAAACATTTAGTTAGGTGGTTTGTAAAGAATAGTTTCCCTTACTTTAGACAAATCTCATATGCGAAGAAATGACAAAAAGTGGATTTGTAGGTGATATTCGTCACAGACCGACCTCATTTGGGGTGCCATTGAGAATCAGGTTGTTTGGTTCTAGGATAAGATTCCTGAGCATTGTGGACTCATGAAAAAATCAGGGGTTAAACTCAGGATCGGTGAGTACTTAAACGTTCGACCACTGGGTCAGGACCCAATGGTACACATTTCCAACTCCAATCAATTCTGACCTTACTAGAACGAAGTAGCTTTCCAGTGATCCTAACTTTTCGATCGAACCCCAGTTGAGTTCAAGGGTCGTTTCTGAAAATCAAGGTGCTTAGAAAAATGACGGGATTTTGAAAAGTATGCTGAAATTTTTGACACGGATCAATAAATTACATAAATTAGGGAAAGAATATTCTCACTAACAAAAACTTTCCCATCCACTAGATGATTCAGACGTCACCCACTAGTCAAGAGATGACATCGTTGACTTTGAATGTCATCAGAGGTTGTTTTTTCTCTATACTTATTACAGCAAGGTCCTAACAGTCTTTGGTGCTAGTGGAATCTTAGCGACTGGATTCTAATGTGACCGAAAGTCTAAATGATTTAACATCAAATGAACTATAGGTTGACGTTAAAATCAATGTTATTGAAGTCGATCAGAGGAAAGGCCTAGATCTAGGTTTCATGCTAGTTGACGCTGGTCAGCATTAAAGTATCTGTAGTCTCAATGAAACTGAAACTCCCTGTGGGGTTTTTGTTAACTCTCGTATAATATGTTAATAGTTCACACAATCCATTGTCAAATCAAATGATATTTATTTGCCAGTATTATTATTAATGTACTTAGCTTCGAGCTACACTTTATGTTTGAGAGGTATTGATACCACTTGGTCGCTCAGGCGGAAGCTAGTGGAACAGATTATGGACCCACGATTTAGTAACTGAAAATCGAACGCCTTAAACACTGAACCACCGCTTCACTAAAAAATATTGCATTACTTAACGAATAGGTGAGAACGACAGGAATTATATTGAATTATTGTCCAATTCTAATTTAAATTTTTTAGAACTAGCCATTTCTAGCCTTTGATAATTTTTGAACCCTTATATTAAAGTTAATGACAAATATCTATATAACATAATCAGTAAATATAATCACAATCAACCAATATTCTTTACAACTCAAATTTTATTGATCTTGAAAATTACATTTCAACTTGGCCTAAAAAAGTCTACAACATAAACATAAAGTCTCGTACCTGAACAATTAGATCCATACCTAATCGACCTAAAGGAATAGCTTTAACTTGTATAGGTGATGGTCGAATAAATCCAGCATCGTGTAGTCCATGTAATACTGGTGTAGATAATTGTAAGTCTACAAAATGTATATTACGACTATTAGCACAATTTCCATTTGATACATTCTCTCCTAAAACATCAGCAGTACGTTTTTGTTCTTGTGTTAAATCATGTGCTAAATACATGGCATTTTTACCAGTCATTTCATTTCCATCCAAATCAATTGATAACTGAACATCATCGTTTGACTTTTCTACGTCATTATTCATGATTATTTGTGCTTAAAAATAAAAAAAACGATAAAGGAAGAAACATGGAATAAATCAAGTTGCTTGATCAACATTGAAAAGAATACAGACAAAATTACATGGGACCATTACGTAGAAGCGGAACATATGACGAGTATTTAACGTATTCTATGTTTGAACTAATATTTAATATGAATATAATTGTACTTGATATGCTCTGTGGTCTTCTTCAACGCCATGCAATGAAAGTACACTTTGTTTTTATCAAGTACCAAATATAAAGTTTAAAACATCCCATGATGATGTCAGTTAGCTGAAATTATACACAAGAAGTTGCGAATGGTGAAAAACTCATTTAGAATTGGATTAAATTGTTTGACATAAGAATTTATAAATGAAATCCAGGAATCGATGGATGGTAATGTTGACCAGTCTTCAGCACACACGCTGAGGTGATAAAAAAACTGTCTAATCAATTTCCATTGGGAAAAGACAACTAATCAAATGTTGATATGCTAAGAAATATGAACCAATGCTTCTATCAAATTCATTTCATAAGTGAATTAAGCTTTAACCTGTATGATTTCGATTTTTCTTTGCTCTTCGACAAAGTTTTAAATACACTACCGGTAGGAACCACCTTAAAATCATGTTGATGAACAATACATCATTTAGCAGCAATTATATAGTGTTCTACAAATCCGACGTTTAGCCATGGATATTTCATGTTGCTTGATAATATGATTCTATAGTTAGACATTAGATTTTGGAAATCACAACACAATTATCATTCTAAGCTACAAATCTTTTTAATAGCTCGAAACTATTCGATGAATCAATTTGTAGCTTACTTTCTATATTATCAATGATGCATTAGATATCAGTAATGTTAACTTCATTCAAAACTGTTCCAATCGATTTGTGACTGAATTGAGGATTCTTCAATAAATGTGTTTTAGTAGTGTGCATAGTCTCTAAATAGTTGAAGAATATTATCGATAAGATGAATTTTCAAACTCTTTTCATCTAGTTATCCAAAGTATTTTGTGATCATTAAGCAAATCTGCTTGTTTTTAAACAGATTGCTTCTTCAATTCGGCTAGTTGAGTTTGAATTTCTCTTATCAGTATGTTTTAATTCATCATAGACAAGTGTAAAGTCGGAGACTAAAAAGTGTTATGATTTCAAACACTCCCAACGGTGATTGCTCGTATTATCCACAGATTTACTTATTAGAACCGCATATCCAATTAAAGAATGGGAACATATTTCTATAAGTTTTCAAGGTTGATGGTCGTTTAAATCAGATGGTTATTCAAATGAGACAAAAACAACTAATAGTCATTATCAGGTTTAGTGGTCGAGACTGTAAAAATACCGACTGCATAGTCTTGTGCACAATTCAGTCCTTTACGAGCTGCGAAATTGTCGGTTACAAACATATCAACATGTATAACTCGATAAGAACTTTTGATAAGATTGGCTTTCTGAAACAGATATCTAGGGATATACACGATTTGGGTTTTTAACGAACCAATCAATAAATGTACATGTAACTACAAATTAAAGATCAGATGAAGATTAAATCAACTACAGTATGAATTGATATTATCCCTACACCTAAAAGTTAATGGGAACTGGTAAATTTATATTTAAACATAGAATGAGTCAATTAGTTCTTAAAAACCTACTGGATAGTGATTCGAAATAATTTGAATTATATCCACAATAAAAATATAATGATCTCCTTGAGTGAGACTTTAATGTTTACAAGAATATTTAATTCAGACTGAAAACGACTATTGAAGGTAAATGTTCCAAACTAAGCTTATAAATCTTCCCCATAGATGTAGGCTGAAAGAATTACTGTAAGTACCTGGTTCACATTGAATGTCAACAAACACGGTAATATGACTGTTCCATTCTATCGTGATTTTTTTAATTAATACAATTTTACTCTAATACACACACTGTAAGAATAGCAAAACTGAATATTTTCTCTTGGAAATGGCTCTACATAAGAGTTTCTGAATCAATTAAAACAGGACGTAGATTTATGAACCGATCGCTAAGTTCACTTTTCGATTTTTATTTGTTTTTAAACTAATTTAAATTATGAGAATAAATATACTAGTAACTAACAGACAAGCTTCTCAAACGATCCCTTTAACAAAATATTTAACAAATGAACAGTTCTATTTGATGAAAACAGTTACATTAATTATGCGTTCCTAAGATGCATATATATAAACAGTAGGATGGAAATATATGATACACACATTGTATATGATAGGAAACAAGTTGGAATCATTTGTTTTCAAATGAAGTATTGAACATTGCAATTTGTATTATTAATAATAATAATAATAATAATAATAATAATAATAATAATAATAATAATAATAATGTTACTTTTATATGGTAATAATGATAGCAAATGACACTTTATCGATACTGTTTAGGTAAAAATTAAAGTGAGAATATCAAAGAGAGATACTTCATGCAGACAACACACTATGGATTACAAAAACCGGAAAGAAGGTACAAAAATAACGAAAAATTGGAGTGAAGGGGAGACGGAAGGAGACAGTGATACCACCTTCATCTTTCTGATAACAATGTAACTAACTTGGTGTTTACAAGTATTTGAAACATGTAGGCACATGAATAGAATAAATGAAGCATGATTCTTCGAAGTAACTATAGATGTGAACAAATATGACATGGTGGATAATAGTAAAAAATATGAAGACAGGAACGAAAGTGATAATTGAATGAGTAAAAATCAAAAACTAAAGACGCCTTGTATTTGTATAGGATATTTCCGGCGCCTAGAAGTCAATAACTGAGTTCTATACAAAATTATATATATATATATTGTATATATATATATATATGGGAGAGAGAGAGGAGAGAACATCTACATAAATCATGATACAGTAATAACAAAAATACAAGACAAATCGTATAACATTATCATTATAATGATAACGATATTTATTCTAATAAATGTTGACCGGTAGTAACAAGTTCTATGGCATTTGATTTTAAAGCAATTGATGAATTATTATTAGTAGTATTGTTTAAAAGTTCCATGCATGCTATCGTTGACGATGATGTGTCATCATTGATTATACTAGCAACATTGGGAACAGTAACAATAGAACTATTGATAGCTGTTAATTGATTGCTATTATGTTGCATAGGAGTAGTTTGATGTAATGATGATGTTGTGGTTTGTTGGATTATTTGAGAGTACTGTTGTTGTTGTTGGGGTGGAGCATATCGCCATATACATACAAGATTGTTATCAGTTACAGCTGCTAGATAATAACCATCGGAGCTCATTTCAACTGAATTTACAACAGGATTACGAAAACCGGATGTAATACTTTCTTTCAATTGTTGATCTTCATCACGATTACCTTGAACTGAACATTCAGGCCATTCAAGAATCTAAGAATTAATTTTTACAAGATATTTAGATAGAATTTACTATAATGTAGACAGAATAATGACAGAAAATTTTACATTTCGTGTATAGACTAGAAGAAAATGGAACTTTTAAAATGGTATTGTTGCTTAGTGGTGCTCTAGTTATCCCCTGCTGTTACTGACTAAAATGCCGTAAATAATAAGGCTTCAGAAGAGTATGTAACAATACATTGAAACTTACACAGTTAATAACAAACTAATAGAGATTTTTTATTGGGAAAATGATAGATATTTTAATTCTACTCTTGGAAATATTATAATATTAAACTATAGGTTGTTTTATTGTTTTTGTTTGAATAGATGTTAAGGTAACACAATGTGTTGGTGAGATCTGATAGATGGTAGTTATTAGAGTTGTATACAATATAATACTTCCTTTAAATAAGTGATCCACTATTGGATTATCATTTAATTAGAATTCAACTGGATTTTGAAGCGCTTGCATTGTGTTTTATATGTGGTACGGATGAATGAACTCTACTCTTTTAATTTATTTAAAGTTACATTGAATGAAGTGATTTTCGTTGAGGTACTTAAATAGTTTAATGAATTCTAATACAAAAGATTTGGCTTATAGTAGATAACATAAAAAAGGTGATGAGTTTATAATGAATTTTATTGAAAGAAAAATGGTTACATTCAGTTTTATATCAGCTGGCAGATCCCTAACATACTTGATGGACATCGTAAAGATCATGCAACTAGGTAGTTTTAACCATTACAAAATATGACTGAAGATCAAAAATTAAGTGGATAATTTTTATTTGGATTATTATTCGTAATAATGTTTAGTTGCATATTTTTATTTCGTACTAGGCTACAATATTAATGACCAGAAAGTATAGGATTTTAGTGTAATAAAGATGCACAAAAGTTTACACAGCTGATTATGTATCACAACGATTTTCAGACATATATCGACAGAAAATATTTGGAATCAAACTCGTAATGTACTTTGTTAGCTATTTAGAGTATTTATGGTCTCACTTCAACAATTTGAAGAGTATACATGATCTGTATCACAATATCAATAAAAAAATCGAAAGGTTTATGATATATATTACAGGATGACCTGGTTAACTGGAAAATATATTACCGGATCAATCAGTCGTTTCAACTAGCCGGATATAAGTCGTTTTAACAATGGCCGTTCATTTTGCACGTGTTTAGCGTTCAGCTCATTAACGTAAACAAGGGATAAGGAAACCAAGGGAAACAACACTGCTTGTTATTTAACTACTCCTGTTGTTACGACTGGATATCTGATAAGACAAAATTAGGTACTCGAACAAGCACCAGAAATTAAAGATTTTCAACTGAGGATTGAGTAAATAGGCTAGGTGACAGACAATGTGAAACAGAAGAACGATGCTTACTCATATCATGATTTCCATTTGTTCTGTTGATTAAAATTGTACACAGCAGCAACATATGGATCTAGAATGCTTAAAACTAAAAATGAATCTAAATGCTGCACGCAATTAGTTGAATAATCAGAGTGAATTCATCGATCAGTGAAATACGATTGACAATGGAAAGTAGAAGATTATTTGGATTAATAACTTGCAAACAACAGGTGTAAACAAGGTAGAGGATCAAGTCTTAAAAACTTGTCAATTAGATTAGGTGAACAGTACATGCTTAGAGGATTCGAACAATTTAGTGTTAATTCTGAGACAGACTGCAGAATTCTGAAAACGTATCAACCGAAACCATGATGCTTTTTTCATGACAAATAACAGATAGATGTAAAATATATTTAAAAGCAAACCATCTATACCTTGATTGGTTTTACATGAAAACGTTTACGACTAGAAGAATGCAAATCATCCAAGTATGGATCCAAGTCATATATCCAAATTGAGCCTTCGTTATCACCGCATAGGACAGCGCCTAGATTTTGTCTGACAGATACATTGATATAGATTTCATCCGTTTTTTGCCATAACAAGTGACCTCGCATCTCAATTGGGACAACACGCTGAAGTCCTGTAGTACATAAATGACAAATATATACATAGTTATAACACAAATAAACCACTTCATTACAAAACCGCTTGACCACAAGTCGTCTGGAAAAACTGAGCATGAGTTACGTTTACAACATACAGGACCCAGATAAAATGAACGAAATCGTTAGTATATTTTAGGCCGAACGGATACATACCAAGAGTGCTCTATTTAGGGTTAGTTCGATAATACAGGGTGAGGTTGAGGGCATTACCTTGTTAACTACCATGGAAAACCCAAACAACTTTGTGATGGCTATTATGATTAGACACAATCAATGGATGGTATGCTGGCTGAGATTAAAAACTGAGAAGTGACCTCAAAAAAGCAAGACGCCTAGGTGATTATATATATATATATATTGATATAACGGATGTATTAAAATATTTCTCACAGGTGTACTACGGTCACACGTCAATACAATAATGAGACTAGTAGTGTTGTTTCAGATACATAATTCACAACTCAGAATAAAGAACCAGATAAACACTAGATGATACTGTTGGGATGATCCAGAAAACTTCGCGCAAATGACAAGAAAGGCTCAGAAAACAATAAGAAGCGTTCACTTGAAGTTTAGCCAGAAACATCAAGAAAGTGAAAAGTCACATGTAGAGTTTCTGACTGGCTGAATACTATACTACTACTATGTTTAGTAGCATTCCAGAATCTTCGGGAAACCCAAGGACATCTAAAATACTATAAAAGCCTTATATTTTCCGTACTAAAATGAACCTTTGGAGTAAAGTGTTTCTCGAATATTTTGCGCCTTGTCTCTCATGTTCAGCTCGCTGTTTAGTTCTAGCTTGGGGGTTACGAGAATAGCTTGGGAACCGAATATAGCTTTCAATTAGCAAGACTTATCAGTTACAAGCAGTCACATTCGCTGAGTCTGGAGTAGAAATCAATGAGAGGAAAGGAAATCACATATTTAATAGTCACTACCATATATATGTATATATCCATTTTAAATGTCGATTAGGCGTCCGTCATCCAGCATCATTCTGCTCATTTAATGGGTGATAGCTAGATGGAGAGATTTTGAGTCCTAAATTTCATTTTATGGATGTTTCTCATCCGGCTTGTTGGGATGCATTAAATTAATGTGTTCATAACAGACAACTGTGGATAGTTTCAAATGCTTGAAATGAAATCTTCAGTGAAAATTACATAAATATAAACAACACTCACCAAATGTGTGACAAAAATGCTCAAAAAAATGGAGACTGCACAATTATTAAGCTTTGAAAACAAGATGGATAAGCTCACACCTCTTTTTATACTGAATAGGTTGAAAAAGGGTTAAAAATATTTGCTTTATTTTATGAAGCAGTAAAACTTGATGACATTTGTGAAAACCGTTGTGATGGATGGACGAGTATATACAGACTTTATTTTTTTTGGATTGCATATAATTTTATAGAATATAGTAACGAATGAACGTGTAATTTTAGTTCTATTTCATACCTGACATCATGAAATGATCTTAATTAAACACTCAGTGGAAACCGGGTGGCAATGGATAGTTGTTTCGTCGTAGTGTGGGATTTCTCGTGAGTGTGCATTCACGACCCCACCATCAGGGGATTAAACTAAGGACCTTTGGTCTTTATATATATATATATATATATATATATACCGTAAGCTATATTTATCTGTGATACAGACTTGTATTCTCCTTGAATAGGATGGTCATCCACTTGATTGTCTGAATACAAATGTCTAGCACGGTCTACAACCATTGTTTAGACTGTGTTTATATTTTTTATGATTATTGCTGAAATATAACATTATTAATTAGAATCCGTAAATACGAATAGAACAATAATGTAAATGATTTTCTTACGCTGAAATATGACTAGAACAATTTGATATAATCAGTAGCTTTTCGGAATTGATATATTAGAATCCGAAAAACTAGAGTATACACGTGAACAATCAATATATACATACACCTCTATATCTATTAACTAACCTTTACGTCGTTCCAAAATAGATGCAAAATCGAACACCATAATTTCACCAGACTCCACTACTTTTAAAACTAATGCATTATCGCTTAGCTGAGCTAAAGCATCAATACAAACTTCATGATTAAAGTCCAATTTCAACTCCATATCCGGTTCACGTTCTCGTTTCTCTAAACGTAGATCGGTTATTTTCCATGCAAACAGTCCATCCTCACAACCAGCTATTAAATAAGCATAATGTGGAAGGAAAACCAGATTTAATACTGGATTCACATCTAATCTAGGACAACGAAGACGCATTAATAGTTGATAACGTGTTTTATAGTCTGGAACAGATGGAATTCCAATATCCCAAACGATTACAGATGCCTAAAAAGGATAGAAGTAGTAGTAGCAAATTACATCTCATTAGCAAATATTATGAAAATTGAAAGTGATTGCTATTATAATACAGATTGTGGTTAATATGTCCAGTAACTAAGTGTCCCAGGTTCGAGCCCCATTTCGCCTAATCCTATTTATATGACTGAGAAATATCATCAGCCCTTATACTTAGATTGTGGTTAACCTCCAAGTAACTAATGGATGAGTTAACGTACTTTATAATTTAAATAATATGAATTGTAAAGATCATATACTTTATTAATGAGGAGTGAAATAACAGAGATAGAATTAATAAACAGCTAATGATTGTGTCTAGTTTTGTGAAGTCATATAGTCGAAATTGTCTGTATTCGATTGATGTAGGTAAAAAATAATTTCGCAAACATACAACAGTAGGTAACTTAACATTCAGTAACCTTTGAATTAGTAATCATATTCTGTAAACCTGGATGGAGTGTTAAAACATCTCAGATTACTTTTATGTGGAAGGTATGCAAAACAGAATGAAGAGCTAATTAGTATAATCATTTTCTTGATTAATCTGTACAAAATAATTTGTGTCCGTTTAATATTCGAAGGCTTATTTTAGAACACATATATGCATAGAATAAACCTCAAAAATATTGTCGGGCAGTTATCCGGTAAAAGCATAATATACTGGAGACCTTGGGGGACTTATCGGCTAATCAATAAATACTGCTTAGTTACAAAGCCGTCAGAAATAAAAAGCAATGATACAACAGCTTCAACCTGAATGAATAACCCTCATATGCCAAACTATTCTTTGTGGTAAAGTGAAAAGGTCAAATTTACGCATTAGGGGTCGGGGTCCTGTTATGTGTTAGGATTATCACTGCATAGAGATTTCATCACATGACATCAGTTGCAATGTAAAAAAGTTAAGTTTAAGTATTAAGGGTAGGGTTGGAGTTGAATTTACAAGTTAGGGTTGTGATTCCCATCACGAACTGACAGCAGTTATAATTCAATGCAACGCCACCCATCTGTTAATAAACATAAGAAACTTAAGGCTGAGATTCGGAGGATGAGTTAGAAGGGGGGAATATTATTTAGCTTCACTCAACACTTTTAACTACACAATGAACCACATTAAGCACTATAAAACACAATCTGCTTTAGAAACAGGTATGTTTTGTCATTTAGGTTAACTGCCATTTTAAATTCACTTTTTGGTTGTCTAATAGATTGATTCTGAGTAATTCAAGAATCAACAATTGTCAATTTTCATCTCTTTAATAAAAAAAATACAAATTATTTACCACTGCACTTTAAATCTCGCGCAAAATACATAAGGAGTTATTGTGAGTGGTTAACTCCAGCTCCTCAGTATATCATAATCTTACCACTAATCCTTTAAAGACTGTAAAAGTAAAACTATTGAGAAATATATTTTATCACTGGCATAACACAGACATAAACAATGTTAACATAGATATTCAAAATATTGTACTGAATCGAAAGTTTCACATACTTTAGAATCTCCACTGAATAAAATTGTAGATTGTGTTTGATGAAATATCATAGCTGTCACATCTTCTGTATGACCTTTCATTTCAGCATAACACACCAACTGTTCTGGATGAAGTAATCTGATTTCATGCATACGACCTGCAGCAGCTAATATATTAGTACGTTTACTGCCTTCAACTTCAACAGTTGTCCAGGCTATGGTATAAAATTCCTAGTAGAATAATGGTTATATTATTGATTACAAATCAAGTAGAATATTGTTTAAGATCGAAATATATGAGAGTAGATTAAAATTGTTTGATAGGTATTATACTGAGAATTTCTGAGGATCATCTTAGTTTTACACACATTGCACGAAGTTATCATTTTGTCATAAGATTGCACCTTTCATATGCTTCAAATTAGTTCATCGAAATTTCTATACAAGTTTGTAGGATAGTTTCACGACATAGAAAAATAAAGGCTTTTCCTACTAGATGGTACCTTTTAGAATTCGTAAAGTCAGTAGTACCTTTGTACATTAAACAGGGATTCCTTTGTCAGTAGGAAAAACAGATGGAACTTTAGCATAGTGTAATCTGTTTTGCATAATAATCATTACAAATTGACATAAAGACCAATGTGAATAAAACATCTATTTTCATTAGAAAATAAAATTGGAATCTCAATTAGGGTTTAATTAATTGCACCGGTCCCACTGTACATATTGTTTAGCTTATAAACCAATTATTTTGATTTCATTAACTTGTAATTTAACGGTAAAGTTAGCCAGAACTAAATAGTTTAAATAATTCATCTCTTTTGGAATTAAGTCGAGAATCAACTTGGATACTGACTGAAAGAGCCTAGCAAAGTGAAAATGTGAACGAACATAGAACAAGTGGGTATAGAATGATAAGGTCAAGATCTGGAGGAATAGCATTGAAAGCAATTTTGAAGTGAACTACTTGAGATCTCTAATAACTGATTTTACCAATAAGTCTATGTTTGCTGAACACTACAGAAATGACAATCTTAAATCAGGTCAATTATTGTCTCTCTTCTGAGAGGGTGAGAGTAAGTCGAATAAGGAATTCAAATGAAGGAGTGATATTGACCAGTTTTTATTAAATTGCCTTTGCACTTATTGTCAGTGACCTTAATGAGTAGATTTTTAGTTTCAGCTCAAAGTAATGTCTTAAAAGGATTTAATTTCCAGTAAATGAAATCACTTTCAAACGCTTTTATATTGATAAAAAGGTATGGAGATGAGAAGGGACAATCAACTACATAAAATTTGTATTCTATTTACTTATCACAAAACATTTGGCGTAAAGATATGTTCAACGACTAATTAGTCGACTTCGATTTGTAAACGAAAATCATTTCAAGCTAATCGGTGGGTTTGATGAATTTGACATTTACTTTTTATGGTGAACTAAAATGAAATTATTCCATTATTACTATTATTATTATTACTACATCAAAATCCACTTTTGACTTCTCTATTTGAGTCATAAACTGCACATACATTCCTTTTTTTCAGTTTTAATGTCAACAGACTATGAATGAATCAGAAAGACGAAAATACTCATTCCATATATCAATAGTATGGATAAAACAAGCAACACAAAAGTCTAGGAAGAAACAGTTTTTTTACCTCTTCCATATGTTTAAAACGCTTCATAACTTTGCCGGTTTCACAATTGATTAGACAAACACATTCACCACCACAGGTTGCAACTACGTGGGTTGTTTCATCGGGTCTCATTGGATTTGGTTCAAATAGGCAACGCCAAACTTTAGTTTCACTATCTCCTGCATCATTGTCCTTAGCATGACAACGAATGAAATGTAATGGGTCGTAGTCGATTGGAGTTGCATCAGATCTAGGACCACCGCCAACAACTGTATTAGCAGTGGTATTGTTATAGGCATCAGATGAGAATGGGGTATCTGAACAAAGATCTCTTAAACTTCTAAAATATGAAGAGAAATAGAGAATTGAAATGAATGATAAAATGTAATGTTTAATATTCCGTAAAAACGGAAATACCACAAAAGAGTATAACGGTAAACAAAGATTACTGGCAAACGTGTTTCCGATACTGCCAGAACTAGTACCATTATAACTTAACGCTGAACAGTTGCTAGGTGAGTAGCCAGTGTCATACTTAACCGTCAGAGCTGAATTTAATTCAACTGATCCATTCTGTTGCTTGCTTCACCAATGACAAGCCTTGAATATCTGTCAACTGAATTTCACACACTCACTACGCCAGACAGTTTCGCTTGATCTCATAGTTTAACCAGCAAAGTAGAAGGGAAAACATGAAGCCGTAATCTTCTATGAGTTTAGTTTATGCAAGTATATAAAATAATTTTATTTCTTTCAAAACCTAACAGATCAAGCGAACAGTAATTCCAAGACTGCAAATTAAAACAAATCCCGATGTATACAAAAGTCAGTTATGCTTCAAAGTAGAGTGACAAACAAGCGCAAAATGCACTTATAGGATGGGAATCTCATGGACCAAGGATCATCAAAGCCTCGTTTAAAACAAAGAAAGAGGGCATTTCAATGAACATCATCCAATGCTATGCGCCTACCAACGACTACAATGAAGACGCTAAGGATCAATTCTACGATAGGCTGCAGTCAATCGTGGAGAAGTGCCCAACAAAGGACCTGACCATTCTGACGGGAGATTTCAATGCCAAGGTTGGAACGGACAACACTGGATATGAAGACATCATGGGACGACACGGACTGGGAGAAAGAAACGAAAATGGTGAGAGATTTGCAAATCTATGTGCCTTCAATAAGCTGGTCATAGGCAGAACTATATTCCCACATAAACGCATACACAAAACCACATGGACTTCACCGGATCACACAACACAAATCCAAATCGATCATATCTGCATCAACAAAACGTTCAGGAGGACGATGGAAGACGTGAGAACCAAGAGAGGAGCTGATATAGCATCAGATCATCACTTGCTGGTCGACAAGATGAAATTGAAACTCAAGAAGCACTGCACAACGGGGCGGACAACATCACAGAAGTTCAATACGGCCTTTCTTCAGGATACTAACAAATTCAACAAATTCAAGATAGTCCTCAGCAACAAGTTCCAAGCCTTTCATGATCTACTCGATGGAGAAGGAACTACTGTAGAGAGCAACTGGAAGGGGATTAAAGAGGCAATCATTTCAACATGTCATGAGGTCCTGGGCCACAAGAAGCACCATCACAAGGAATGGATCACTGTGGATACACTGGATAAGATTCAAGGAAGAAGGAACAAGAAAGCAGCAATCAATACCAGTCGAACAAGAGCAGAAAAAGCCAGGGCACAAGCTGAATACACAGAAGTAAACAAACAAGTGAAGAGGAGCATCAGAACCGATAAACGTAAATATGTGGAAGATTTAGCAACGACGGCGGAAAAGGCTGCAAGAGAAGGAAACATGAGACAACTGTATAACATAACAAAGAAACTCTCTGGAAATCGCCACAAACCTGAACGACCAGTGAAAAGCAAGGAAGGCGAGGTAATCACCAACATTGAAGAGCAACAAAACAGGTGGGTAGAACACTTCAAAGAACTCTTGAATCGGCCAGCGGCAAGACCAGACAACATTCCAGCAGAGGCACTGAAAGCAGACGTAGCGGTAACTGCAAGGATACTGCACATTCTCTTCAATAAGATTTGGGATGAGGAACAAGTACCAAAAGACTGGAAAGAAGGACTTCTGATCAAAATACCGAAGAAAGGCGACCTCAGCAACTGTAATAACTACACGTGCATCACTCTTTCCTCATTACCGGGAAGTCTTCAACAGGGTATTGTTAAACAGGATGAAGGACTGCGTAGACGCCCAACTTCGTGACCAACAGGCAGGATTCCGTAAGGATAGATCGTGTACAGACCAAATCGCAACTCTACGGATCATTGTGGAACAATCAATTGAATGGAATTCATCACTTTACATCAACTTCATTGACTACGAAAAAGCATTTGACAGCGTGGACAGAACAACGCTGTGGAAGCTTCTTCGACACTACGGCGTACCTCGGAAGATAGTCAATATCATACAAAATTCATATGATGGATTACACTGCAAAACCGTGCATGGAGGACAGTTGACAAAGTCGTTCAAAGTGAAGACCGGTGTTAGGCAAGGTTGCTTACTCTCACCCTTCCTCTTTCTCCTGGTGGTCGACTGGATCATGAAGACGTCAACATATGAAGGGAAACGCGGGATACAATGGACATCTAGGATGCAGTTGGACGATCTAGACTTCGCAGATGATCTGGCCCTTCTATCCCAAACGCAACAACAAATGCAGGAGAAGACGACCGGTGTGGCAGCAGCCTCAGCAGCAGTAGGTCTCAATATACATAAAGGGAAAAGCGAGATTCTCCGATACAACACAGCATGCACCAATCCAATCAAAATTGACGGAAAATATTTGGAAGATGTAAAAACCTTTACATATCTGGGCAGCATCATTGATGAACATGGTGGATCTGATGCAAATGTGAAGGCGCGGATCGGTAAAGCAAGAGCAACATATTTACAACTGAAGAACATCTGGAACTAAAAGCAACTGTCAACCAACACAAAGGTCAAGATTTTCAATACAAATGTCAAGACAGTTCTACTGTATGGGGCAGAAACCTGGAGAACTACGAAAGCCATCATCCAGAAAATACAGGTGTTTATTAACAGTTGTCTACGCAAAATACTTCAGATCCGTTGGTCGGACACTATTAGCAACAACGTACTGTGGGAGAGAACAAACCAGATCCCAGCGGAGGAAGAAATCAGGAAGAAGCGCTGGAAGTGGATAGGACACACATTGAGGAAAGCACTCAAATGCGTCACAAGACAAGCTCTCACATGGAATCTTTAAGGCCAAAGGAAAAGAGGAAGACCAAAGAACACATTACGCCGGGAAATGGAAATAGACATGAGAAAAATGAACAAGAATTGGATGGAACTAGAAAAGAAGGCCCAGGACAGAGTGGGTTGGAGAATGCTGGTCGGTGGCCTATGCTTCATTGGGAGTAACAGGTGTAAGTAAAGTAAGTAAGTAATCATAATGATAAAAAACAAGTGCTTTCTAAATGATCTGAATGAAGGTTGTAGCGCTGGTAGATGATATCATGAGTGAGCTAAAAGGGTCATCAGTTAATGTTGATAAAATCCTTTAGTAAAAGGCACTAGATCTACTGTTACAATGCACGTTCAATAAATATAGTAGGTAGAAATGGAATCGTTACCAATTAAAATAACGTTACCTATGCATTCCCATAGACTTCCGTTTCTTTGGTCGAGGAGGAAGACCGCCTGTTGCGACACCTGTGTCTTCACCGACATCAAAGTCGACTTTACTCGGCCGATTTGATCCGGTTCGTGAACTCGCCATTTGGTTGGATGTACAAGTTACTCTTTTGGTAGGTGCTCCTGTATTACCCAATTCAGTGTTCAGTTCGCCTAATGGAATCGTACTAGTTGTCGTCGATCCAGGCCAAGGACGTTCCCCTGTTGATGTATTAATTTGATCGGATTTCCGAATTTTACCAGTACCAGTACGTCTATCAAGCATTTGCAGATACGTTTTTTAAAATAACACCAGATCAAAAAATGTTTATTCAAATTAGATACATTAGGAAATGATTAACTGTCAACCTAATGTAGTATATATCCCTCGACTTAACAAGTAGAACCTAGTATTAAAGTACGTAAGATTTACGATGATCTATTCGGAGATATTACTATTGTAAGAAGCTAGCTATTGAGATTACATTCAACCATATAGTCAGAACGATGCATGATCAGAGAACAAGTCAAGAAGGAATACAATAGAAACAAAAGTGCTACTGATGCTGATTCATTCAATTACCGGGTGGCACTATATATACATGAATGTGTTATGAAAGAAAAACAGAAACAACAAAATAGTCTATGTGTCTGATCACATTTATATATTTACTTTCCAACTTGTAGCTTTCCAAATCAATGGCCAAAGAAATTGAAGTTATTTAAATTGATAAAATTACTCTCTTCAACAGACGTTTATCAGTCAGTCAGTAACAACGTAGAACTTCGTACGTACGTACATCAGTTCGAGTTGCCACACCACATTAGCACAGAGATGCACTTGTCGATTCAAATCCCGTAGTGGTAGAGGTAATAAGAGTATAAGCAGTAATCGGGAAGATTAGGGTTTGGAGATGTTATTTAAAGAGTATAATCCAGTGAAATAAATTTGGAAAGAGGAAAAAAGGCACATGAAGAATTCAGAAGATTAGAATTTGGGAGAACACAGAGAGTGGATGCACCTGCGCCATTGCAAACGATTTTGAGCCATGTCGTTCAGGGTTTCTAACCATCGGTTGCTAACATCTCGCGGTCCCCAACCAGGTAGTCTACACCTACCAACATGACTCAGTTCACTTGTCAGTGACTTCATGGACTTATGCCATGTTTTGGTCTGGCCGCCCCTAGCTTTCTTCCAACCTACTCCTATACCACTGAACATAGCACGTCGAGGCAGTCGGTGGTTGGGCATACGTAACAACTGAAGTTTCACTACTTCATCAATTGATTTGCCATCCTTACCTAGTACCCGTTTCCTAACAACTGCATTACTTACTTGATGGTCCCATGATATACGAGCAATGTTTCGAAGACACCTATGATCAAATACTAGTAGCCTACGGATATCCTCTACTCTTACCGGCCATGTTTCACTGCCATAAAGTAGGATGGAACGAACTGCTGCGCAGTAAACACGTCCTTTGGTTGATAGACGGATATCTCGCCTACGCCATAAATGACGCAAGTTGGCAAAAGCTAGTCGAGCCTTCTGTATCCGTGCTGAGATTTCGTCACACACCAAACCACAAGGGCTGATGAGACTTCCAAGATAAGTGAAGCGGTCGACACACTCAACTACTTCACTCCCTATCACTAGTCCGGGTGTCGATGTAACCCAATCCTGAAGCAACATTTTGCATTTCGAGGGAGAGAATCGCATCCCGAACATGCTTGCATTGTTGCTTAGAGTGGTCAGAAGACTCTGCATTTTGTCAGCCTCTTCACCAAATAAAACTATGTCATCTGAATATTCCAAGTCAACAAGTGAACCTCCCGGTAGAAGTTCAACCCCTGTAAATTTAGATGAGGAGAGTGTTATCTCTAAAAGTACGTCGACCACAAAGTTGAACAAGAATGGGGAGAGTGGACAGCCCTGACGAACACCACTTGAGGTAATCAATTCTGATGACAGTTCGCCATAAGCTCTTACTCTACCAGTTGTGTTCGAGTAGAGAGCCTTTATAAGGTTAATGTACTTCTTTGGTACTCCTTTCAGTGACAAACACTGACATAGAACCTCACGATCAACAGAGTCGAATGCCGCCTTAAGGTCGAGAAATACTACCATTGTGACGTTTATCTAATAACTGTGAAATAAACGACCATATTACTTAGCATCTATCAAACAATTTCTGTACAAAATTATACTTGACAAGGTATTATCAGTCTCACCATACACTACTATACATATTGTTAACAGTAATTTTGATTTCGCGAACCACTAATCTACTGGAATTCCTTATCAATAATCAAGAGGGTCGGTAGTAGTCTTTATTATTGAGTCACTGAACAATAACTACTTAGATCTTACGAGAATCCATTTCTTAAATTTGCATGCTTATTTTGTTAATAAGTGCCCGGATACATTACGTTTGAGTTTGATGGGTTTTAGATGACTATCTGCGAATGATAAAGTCTTAAACTTTCTTAAAAATAAAACATATCTGAATTGAACTGGACTAAAATAGAAAGAGTATGATAAAATGTATATATTTATCTCCTGTGAAAACGTATACACCAAATGGAGTGAGCGTCGGAACAGAAAAGCATAAATTTATAGTGGTATAATTTTGTCGATTAGGGGCATTATTAATCCAGTAATATTATATGATAAGTATGTCTAACAGTTCACCCAAAGAATGAATATGGATAGTGTGCTGGGAACCATTACTATTATAATTTTGTGGCACATTCAAGAAAAGTATAGTTATATCAAGGAAACGTATGATGCTTATCAAAATAATACATATACAAGTTTATATAATCTTACAAGATCATACTCACTTCTTAGGAGTTGTTTTTTGACCTAAAGTATCTTTGACAGCCTTCTTATATATCTCAGAGGCCATATAACCTTTGACATAATCTTTGTTACGCAGTTCACCAGGCAAAAATTCGGCCACTGGTCGTCCACTGATACCACGTGGACGAACAACAGTCATAACTATAGAACGACCTTGACGTAATGACCGTCCCAAATGCAGTTGATAATTTGATAGTCCATTAGTTTGTAAACCTAACTGACAAGCACCATTCGGAGTGAGAAGTACTTGTTGTTGATGTAAACGACCCATTGAATCCACAAAAAAAGTAGTTTGCAATTGATTAGCACTTTGAGCTAATAATTGTAAATCAGGTAAATGAGTACCTAACAATTCGTCGGTAGCATCGAACAGCGCACATTCATCTATAGCATGAAAGAAAAGAAAGTCATACATTACCCGTTTTAAAATATTACAAAACGTGTTTGTAAAAGAAACGACCTATTTACTGTAATCAATTACAGTTTAAATTCCGAATATTGAAAACCATGAAGGACCTATTTAAACATGTTACTTTAATGAATATAGTTGAATTGATGGATGAAGAAGTATAAACTCTTGAGGCATTATATTTACATGTTAGGTATGAAGACTTTTGAGGATTCAAGTTTATAAAAAAACCATGTAATAAGTTGAGATTGTCCACGTAAAATATCTGACAGTCCACTTATCAAAAAGAATCATGGATACACTTTCAATAAATAAGGATCTTTTTGGTTATTTGTTTTTGCCTACATTAATTAAATTGGCTAATCATAACTTTTGTGAAATAGTCTGAGAATAGAATTTAATATGAAGAAAACTACTCAGCATGTATACTAATCCATTGCAATTAAACTGCATAAGTAACGGCAGGAGATCTTATTCTCATAAAAAAAGGAGTTGCAATGGAATTCAGCTGTCTAACCAAATAATTGAATGCGTAATTTCAGTTAGTTATGGTTTCATATCTGAATAAGGAATTTCTAGGGAAAGCTTTTTATCTTATCGGTTGATGCGTTATCTAACGAAGAACTCGTGATGCACTTTAGATGTACAACAATTGACGATTCATTACTTACTACCATTATTACTAACATATATCATATTACTTATAATGAATAATGTTCAACAATAATACATACAATGATAAATCAAAGATATCCATTAAAATTATAAGTGACAAACACTTATTAAGAGAAACTACACAATCACCGAAAGTTGGGTTAACTCAAAACACTTTAATAGCTTTGCTAAAAAAAGACAAACTTCATTCACCATAAAGATAATCATGCTAAAAAAGGCTAGCCAGGATTCTATTTCCAAAAACAGTAACACCCAATGATTGTCAGTAATGACCTTTGCTAGGTTGATTGCTTCATGATTTGAAGCTCATTAGTCGAGGTAATATGCCAACATTGGGATACACTGAAACTAGAAACATATTGTAAGTACTTCGACCGAATTACCATAAGCTAGTTCGAATTCCTTAAAACTGAATGAGACAGCAACCGTGAAGTAATAATTGTGCACACTTTCTCATCTATGGTTGGTCGGACTTGGTGCCATTCGACTGAGATAATATCCGATAGGTGAATGGTTTGGTATTGGTTTATAAATTATGCTATAGATGTCTGTATTTATCATAGCTGGATGATTTCTCAACACATAATCATGTTAATAAAGTTACGTGTTCTAGCAAGGCTACAATCAATGATCTCTCTGATGCAAAGTACCGAAAGTGAAACATAATCAAGAAGGGATTTGAGATGTTGATATGCCATTGGTAGCTTTCATCAAGCAGGCAAATTTAAAAGAAACAAATTTTTTTCATTCGTTTTAGGAAGGAGCAGAAGGATGGATAATATAACATTATTTTTATCCCAAGTGTCTAGAGAGATGAAGAGTATGGTAAACAACTGAACTTTGGATTTGAATAATTCATCCAAACTATATATATTAGAGACCTGGAAAAAAATAAACAAAAGTTTGGAACTAACTTGCAGCTCGCGCAGCTGCTTCTTTTTCTTCCCCCTCATCATCATCTTCATCATCTTGTATGTCGTCAGATTCTAAATCACATGCAGAAAGTTTTGTACGCAACTGTAATGAATCAATATTCTCATGTTGACTGGTGATAGCAGTGGTAGTAGTAATATTAGCACCACCAGTAATATCCCCATCATTATCGTTAGCAGCAGCGCCATCATCAACCGGTTCAGTCAAATAGTTATCAGTCATTTTATTTGTGATGGTTTCTGTCAAAGTATGATTCTCATTAGCGGTGGATTCACCTGATTTGATAAATAATTTGTTTGTAACATCAGTAGTAGTCGTAGTAGTATGAGTGACATCCGTAGAATTCTCTACATCTGTAATTGGTTTAGGAGTATCCAGAGAATTAACTGCATGCAACAATTCCCTATCCGTGGCATCATATATCATGGATCGTAGAAACTCATCGATACAACGAAACAACTGGGTAAGTGAAGAGAAAACAAAGCAACAAGTGAAAAAAGATAAATAAAAGTGATAGGGTTGATGGCGACTATATAAGTAATGGCATGTTACACTAAAATGTTGATTTAATGTGTGAGGATAAAAACATTGATTACAGTGGATGAAACCAAATTTATGATTTAACCGCTGTGTTGAGTACTGATTTATATGAATAATAACAAGAACTGGACATTAATTATCTTAAAATTCGTAGCATGATACAAACGATACTGAGAGAAGAATTAATAAATACCAAGATATCATTATTGCTGTTTAAAAAAGAAGCAAAGTTACTTACATGGGAAATATTAAGTAATGGCAACAAAAATAGCTAATAACATTAGACGCAACAGTAAAAAATATATTAAAAATATCATACTACTATTTTTACTAATAAGTAAAAACAACAAAACTTTCGAATTCCTAAGCAGATGGATGTTCGACCAATGTTAGTACTAATAGAATGGATAAATACTTCTATTACGATGCAAAACAGAGAAGAATGCACTAAAAATAGGGAATCATAAATTATCCTCGGTATAAATGTTTCTCGAAATCGTAATGAAGGGATACATCAGTTCCGTAATAAAACTGATATAGTTTGGTCCCGAAATGTCATCACGCGGCATAAACTAGAAACACTTATTTCGAAATATGATGACCAAAACTATGACTACTGTTTTAGCGATATGAAACTCATGGCTATTAAAGATGTATATTAAATTACTAAAACTGCACAAAAAAACACTGAACCATATGAGAAAAACACAATCACACTTACCAATAAATCTTTATACTTGTTTAAGGCTTCACCAACCAGAAGATTACGCTCTTTTATATGCTCCATCATGTTTTCAATCAATGACATACGTTCTTCTCGATTTTTAACAAAAGGATACTGATCAGCAAAGTCTGTTTCCCATTTTGATCTTATCTGAAACATGAGAGCATATGATTAACAGCATAAAGAGATATTGAGGTAAACATCATACTCTTAAGCTCAGAGCATATTTTTGTCAGTACACAAGCCACTAATCAACTTTACAGAAAAATTGAGTTATTTTTACAGGTTCTTACATATAATGCTTTCTCACTTAATAAGACCAAGCTGTCACATCATGCATCATCACAGCCAGATGAAAGTATCGAGACAAGTGTCAGAGTAGTGGAAGTAGCGACAGTACAAGTAGTACCAGAAAAGATTAAGGATACACAATATGATTCAAGAAGAAAAAATCTCTTCATAGAATGAAGGAGTATAAGATAATTTTGAACACTCAAAATCTAAGGGAAGATAAAGAATGAATCTGCACTCCAGCGATCGATTTCGAGCTTTGTCACAGTCTACAACCATTAATTGTGATAATCGTGCGGGGTCAAAGCTGGTAGTTTGCATGTACCAACACCGCTCAGTCCAAAAGTTAGTGACTTTATGAACTGACGCTACGTCTTCGTATAGCACACCAAAAAACATAGTGTGTTAGGCGTCGGATGATATTTTAGACACCATATTAGCCAAACTGATCCCTCTGTGGGCATCGCAAGAGGATCTGTCTTTTCTCATAGACCTGGACGATCGAAACTTGTAAGAAAAGATTACGTCCAAATTTCAAACTCTAGCTAATATCTCGGTTTATCTCACTGTAAAAACCGAATCATCACCCTTAAAGATCACCAGAGTTAACCCATTAAGGTCTGCTCCCTCTTACTTTAAATTAACGATACCTTTTTTTAAGAACTGAGGTAACCATTTTAATCTATGATTCTGGCTATTTCGGAATAATAGGTAAGTGAAGATCGTTATAATTTGTGATCATGGATTCAATTAAAGAGACGGGTGTTCATCTAGAACTACTTGTTCAATACATGATTAATAATAGTAATTTATACCATGAAACAATCACTTACAATAGGTTCCATTATTGACCGTGCTTCTTGAATAATACGGACTGTGAAATCGGTTAGCATTTCTTCAAAATATATACCATTAATATACTTAAGTTTCGGACAAAAATAGACCAACATTTGAGGGTTTAATAACTACAAAAAAAGACAAGTCATTAGGAAATAGATGATGAAATATATGATAAACAGTGGATGACATAATCCGGATAATTAAATATTCCTTTTTATCAACCTAACAATAGAAAAATTTAAAGGGGTAACATGACCATATGATTGTTAGGAGAAACCAACTTAACATTAAGCACCAAGTATTGTCATTTATTTAGGAGACTATTAAGACGTTTTTTGAAATTAGATGTTAACAAAGACACAGGAAATCGCAAACTAACAAGCACGCTTGTATGACCTTTCCAATGACAATTTATTTGGTATATCCAAACACATCTGTTTTATAGGATATTTGTACGTTATTACGTTTACCCGAGTATATCTCTCATATAGTTTTTCAACAATATTGTGTTCAGGCCAGTTTCCGTAAGATGTAAATTTGATGGTGTTTGTTTATTAAGATCATGTATATCAAACATTGTTAAGGAACTACGTGGGACAAAATGTTATATAGCATATATAGTATTCGAAGGGGCAGAACCAGTGTAACAGAAAAAGCTCATTTTATTATCACCTTTGATCAAATGACCAATGAACAACAAGTTTTGTTTCGAACGTTTGGTATATGATTTGTATCGATACTAGAAAATAAAACTCAGAAAGTGATCCCGTAATTAATTATGGTTGGTGAAATTTCAGTGCCAACGCATTCAGATGCACGCTAATTCTTTAAGGTTGGAGTACAATGCACTATTGTGTTCGAATCTACAGTCTGCGTGAAAATAAATGAGACTTCGAACCATATGTAAGATTAAGTAGTTGATGTCATACCAACACCACCTTCAAATTATCTGTCCAATATATTAGAGCCTTTGTGTTTGCAATATTGAGACACCGAATAAATTTCTTCTAAATTTGTTGAAACATTTGCCTATCTTTTTAATAATGTTTCTTTCGTACAGTTTAAAATCAGGAGTGACTCTACTACCCGTTTAAATATGCCAGTCGATTAGTAGTAGGAATTCGTTTACTTTTCTTCACTGGTATTGAATTGAATTCTGATTTTACAGTTCAATGACTACATGTTATTACCTCCACATTTGTCTATTCATTCGTTGGTAACCATCAATAAAAAGTACTTGAATTGTTACTCGCCTTTCTGATACTTTACCATAATACTTGTCTGTTATCTATGTTTCAAGAGCCAACTTGGCCGCCTGCATAAATATTTGAGGTAACTGTTTTCAAATGTGTAAATGTTGCAAGAAAGTTTCTTATTTTATATTTATTGACTAGTTAGTATATGTATTGGCTGCAAAATGTACTTACAGGCTACTACAGTACGCTTACAAAATAATATGATGCTAAAATCCACAAACGAGGGGCGATTAGATTGGAGTTCATACATCCAATAATTTATAGATTAAAAGAAACCAAGTTGAGTAATTCATAGGAGATGCTTGCAATTGAAGATAAACTGCAAATGATCGCTAATATTATTATTTATGCTAATATTAAACGTTTATTTCAAATATATTTTCTGAATATTTGTAATCGAAATGCGTGTTAGGGAGGAATGTATAGCAATAATGTGTATTTTCGTACTGGAGATTCCTTCCGATGGAAACATCTGTTGCCGGAGTAAGGTATTATTATTATCATTATTACTACTAGGTGGTAGAAGTAGTAGTGCCATACTTATAATTAGTATACAAGTGTTTATTCTGACAATTTAAGTACATATTACAAAGAATAAAAACCAGACATACTTGTTTCAGTTTGTCGTCTAAATTCAATCGAATGAGTTTAGGAAATTGTTCAAACAACGGTAGGTGTATAAATCTATTCCCTGTAATGCTGAGTTTTGTTAACTGCGGTAAATGCAGACGTCTGGGGAATACGCGTAATGCATTCTCTGACAAATCTAATTCACGCAGATTGATGCATTTGGCAAGATCACCAGTATTTATACTTGTATATCCGGAAGCTGGAACAGACAGGACACGAACACGATCCAGGCATCTTGCTTTGGTTACACACAAGATCTCATCTTCATCTAAAGGTCGATCATCTTCTTCCACGGATAAACTTAGAGGACAGTTTGCTGCAAATGGATGTAAAAGGTGAATATATTCATATGTGTAGCATGATCGGTGTGAAACAACTACGACGATAAAAAGATTACATATACTAAACACCAAACTTGATACACCAACTCAGTGGGGTCTACTGAACTGACAGATGCTCGAAAACTCATCCCGCCTGGCTCCGGACACAATGAAGAGTGGGAGTAGCTTAAATGTAGGCTGATAAAAATCCTACGCAATGATCGTGAGCAGTGGTCGGCAGCGAAAACTGAAGAGATGGAGAAGGCTGTGACGATAAGTAACACTAGACAACTGTTTAGGCCAATTAAGGAAACGGGTGATAAAATCTGGATTTTAGTTAGACTATCTCGGAAACATATGGGATTATAATTCATTTTCAATCCTAAATGGAAAATTGATGTAAGTCCTTCAACTCTCATTGAGGTTGAAAAAGATATAAGCAATCTAAGACGAGGGATATGAGACACGTCTGGTGGGCTAACCCCTAAGAATTTTAAAGATGATGGTCAGTCAGTCAACTACAACGTAGGACCAGGCCACCCCTAACTTTCTTCCAACCATCTCCAACAATAGCCAGCATTGCGCGTCGTGGTAATCGTTGTTTAGGCGTACGTAATACGCAGCCCAACCATCTCAGTCGATGGAGATTCACAACCTCATCAACTGATTTATCATCATCCCCTAATACCCTGCGTCTAACCTTACTATCGCTTAATCGGTGATCAAAGCAGATGCAAGTCATATTTCTAAGACATCTGTGATCGAATACTAGTAACTCACGAGTATCTTCTACTCTTAATGGCTACGTTTCGCAGCCGAATTGCCGCGCAATATACTCGTCCTTTTATTGATAGACGGATATCTCACCTTCGCCATAGGTGACGTAAGTTGGCAAAAGCCAAGCGAGCTTTTCGAATCCGTGCTGAGATTTCGTCAGACACCAACCCATTAGGGCTGATCAGACTTCCAAGATAAGTGAATTTGTCAACGCGTTCGACTACTTCACTCCCTATCCTTAGTTCAGGTGTTGACGCAGACCAGTCCTGAAGCAACAACTTGCATTTAGAGGGGGAGAGCGCATTTCAAACATTCTGGCATTGTTGCTTAGTGCTACCAGAAGACTCTGCATTGTATCAGCGTCTTCACCAAACAGGACTATGTCATCCGCGTATTCTAAGTCAATAAGTGGACCTCCTCGTAGGACATTAATGCCCGAGAATTCAGTCGACAAGAACGTTATTTCCATCAGTAGGTCTATGATAAAATTTTTAAAAATGGAAAAAGTGGACAGTCTTGACGGACACCACTTGAGGTTGCAAAAGCAGATAACAGTTCGCCATAAGCTCTGACTCGACTAGTAGTGTTCGAGTAAAGAGCCTTCACAAGGTTTATGTACTTCTGAGGTACGCCTTTCAATGACAGACTGCCACATAATCTCGCGGTTTACAGAATCAAATACTGCTTTAAAGTCAAGAAAGACCACCACTGTCGGTCGCCGATAAGTATGCCTGTGTTCTAGAACCTGACGAATGGTGAATATGTGGTCGATGCAGCCACAACCAGGTCTGAAGCCAGCTTGGTTCTCGCGTGTTTGCAGTTCACGAGTCTTAGTTAGGCGTCTAATAATTATCGAGGCCAGTATTTTAGATACTATGTTTGTTAAACTAATCCCTCTATGGTTGTCGCAATATGATTTTAACCCTCTCTTATATATTGGGACGATAAGTGATTGTGACCAGTTGGATGGAATAACGTCCAACTCCCAGATCTTAGCTAAAATATTGGTCAACCTAATCGCTAAAATTGGACCACCTGCCCTTCCTCGTTTCAGATTAACTATAGCCTTTTGAACTTCAGCAAGAGTTGGGGGACCTACTTCAATGTTCCATTCACATTGTCTGGGAATGGAGGGTAGTTGTAGAGTAGCTGAAGGCCAGCTGAACTGTTCTCTGAAATGTTCCGCCCATCGTTCTAAACGTCTGGACTGAGAGCAGATGAGGGTGTCGTCTTTTTTCCGAAATAATCTCACTTACACTTGACTTATTAGTTCCAGTTTCTTTTATTAGTCTGTAGAGCTGTCTTGTGTTCCATATAGTCGCCGCCTTTTCCATCTCTTTTGCTTTCGTTGCCCACCACTACTCACGGTCGTTTCTTGGACTTTTTCTTAACCTAGATCTGATTTGTTGTCGCTCTTCATCATGTTCGGAACCTGATGGGATGAGTTTGCGAGAATCCATCAGTGTGATAAACTTTGAAAAAATCCACTGGTTCTTTGCAACTCTGTGGTTTAAGTCACTAATAGATTTCATTGCTGTTTCCACAGCTGTTTGTATATCTTTCCAAGCAACATCTGGGTCAGCCTCGTTTTCAGAACTACCTAAGTGTGACTTCAGTTGTTCCTGGAACCTACTTTTGGTTTTCTCGTTACTCAACTCAGTTCTAATGGGTCTTTTTAATGTGGCTTTCCTGCGTCCAGTGAGGCGCAAGCAGATGCGTACCCGTATTAGGACGTGGTCGGAGTCCAAGCAGGTACTCCAGAATGAGCGACAATCTTCTATCGATCCTCTCCAACGATGACTGATGGCAATATGGTCTATTTGAGTCTATCGTTGGTTTGGTGTAGGGGGTCGCCATGTTAGACGATGTCTCTCCTTATGCTTAAAATTTGTGTTTGCTAAAAATAAACGATTGTCTGGGCATAGCTGCAGCAGACGATCACCATTATCTGTTCGCTGTGTCGGAATACTAAAATATCCACCTAAATGTCTTTCTGTTTGGTTTAAACTATCTATCTGGGCATTAAAGTCACCCCCTACGAGTACTATGTCTGAACGTTTAGCTTTCTGAAGAAGTTCAGATAGCTTTCTGTAAAATTCATTTTTCGCCTCATCCGAGCTGCAGTCGGTGGGATCGTAGGCAGAAACGACAAAAAGGCAACGACGTGTGTCCCTATCCTTCCGAGTTCTTATGGAGCCGTTTAACTGAACAGCATATAAACAATTGTTAACGGGGATCCACTCTAACAGTGCTTGTTCCGCCCTCATGCTTAGTGCTATGCCTACTCCTGCCAGTCCACGAGAGCAAGCCGTCGAGTCACCGGATACACGGAGGGTTCATCTCGTTTGCTCTTCGTTTTGCCGAGGTGAGGTCAAGTGAATGACCACACTGGTCACACACGACCTTTTTATGGGTAATTTTTGTGTTAGCTCCGTACTTTTGAGGACCTTGCCGCCGAAGACGGATATCCGTGGGATAAGGCGAGGCGTGGATTTTTAGGGTCGACCTCTTCTAACCCCACCCCTCCTCGGGGAAGGCAGCATCGCTGTTATGCTGGTTGTCTGAAGGAAACACCTTACTGTTGTCACACCGTACAGTCAGCAGTACGACTTCGCCTTCGGACCTTGGGTTTGTTGCTTTTAGTCTTACCGCTCTTCAACCGACCTGTCTGACATGGTAGGACCTTGAGGAACGGTTGTTCCAGCCAGTATAGCTCGGTTGCTTCATCACGATAGGCAAGCCCGACCACCACGTCAAGGTAGCAACAATGGTTGGGACTCCGAATATCTTCAGACCAATAAAATATAAGATATGAATGGGGTGATTTGAGCAAGCTGAATTCGAGTTAATTTAATAAAAGTTCATTAATGGTGAGGTCAGTAATACTTGTTGATTATTGTAAGCATTTTGTGATTGCACGATTCAACTATAAAACTTTCTCTCTAGGAACGACTCTGGTAAACATCTGTTTTGAGCAAGCAGTTTGAGCAATCAAAGGGGACAAATCACCAATTAAATGTTACAAAAATTATTCCTTAGATTTGTCTAGTTGTCGTGATACAAGTTTAAAAAATTCTAGACAATACAGCAATTTAACTAATGGAGAGTTACTAATGCAGGATAGGACGAGTAAATTATGTGATGCTTAACAAAATATATCTAATAAACTTACCCAGCTCACTGTCAGTCCTAGGATCCACGATAGTAAACTGTGCACGACCAAGTTCTTCTAGTTGACTATCTGAAAGCTGGGCGATAGCTTGACTGCCTCCCAACAACTGGACAAGTTCACTATTATCTAGTCCTGAGTGACCAAGTTCATCGTCAAATCCCAACATTCCGCCACCTAGACTTACACTTCCACCTACTGAGTCTACATAATAGGGTACACCGGAAGAAACACCATAACCAGATAGTCCACCGAACATATCCATTCCGGACAAACCCAAAGAATCGCTACTAGGATAGGAATCACCCTGCAAACGTATTTGAACGACGTCGCTGGATGATCCCAGAGAACTGACACCAAGCCCATACTTGCTCCCAAGCCCACGAGTTGATCTGCAAAAAAAGTCCAAGATTTTATTCTACAAACATGAGTGCGTCTTCCTAGCAATAGCACGAGACGAAAATAACAAGATGAATATCAAAGATTGAGATAATGAAGCCGCAACGACAATGAGGAAGATTGCGGATCGACAACAGAGTTCAGAAGGACGGAGTAGGAGGGTACATAAGGAGGAATACTGAAATTCAAGATCGGGAGGAAGTGAATGCAAACGTGACGTTGTGAACGATTCCAAGTCATGCGACCTAAAGCCTCTAACCGTCGATCGCGTGAACCCCAACCAGATAGTCTGCACCAGCCTACATAACTCAGTTTAAGTCAGTAACCTTACGAACTGATGCCACATTTCACTTTGGTCGCTTGTACCTTTTTATGGATAAGAACATGCTTTACTGATAATCCACGAAGCACACAAACAGCTACTAGAACCACCCTAGGATAGTGTCAAAAAGACATGACATCATGAAATAAAAATCAAAAGGCTAATTATAAAAATGCCTTTTAGTACTCTGATAAGGCATGGGGTACCAAGTCTACCCTTTCTCTCGAAATTCTCTCATATGACCACAAATTATAACCCAATCCCAGGGGAGTTCCACTTACTGCCTTCTCACAATGGTGTCGCTTAAAGAAGTAAGAATTAAAAATGTCCAACGTACGAGATATCCAATCTTAACCATCGAGCGAAACTTAATGGCGGTAGATACAGGTTAGGAGAGAGTTGAGGCTAGGCAGACCAAAATATGACATAAGTATACGAATTCACTGAACTTCGATTTAAGTCATGTGAGTAGACGCAGATTGCTTGGTTGAGGTTCGTGCAGTAACCACATTTAATGATTAAAGATATTATGTGACGACTAGGAATCTATCACAATCGCGCGGGAGCTCCACATTGATGGTGTTTGATTAGAATTAGGAAGTGATAGAACTAGAAATGGTTGGTTATGTTCTCCATCTACACAAATTATCTGGTCGAGGTTTATTTTAAAGAACCAATAATACCTAGGGTCTCTAATATTTGTACTGATGAATTAATTAAAGCTGCATTTTGATATGCCATACGTCGTAAAACCTAGCGCTGATGTTCGTTATTTTAGGTTACTGCACCATATAATACATGAATGAAATTAAAAATAGAAGGGTCAGGATAATAGTAGTAAAGTAAAAGGAGACGAATGTATTTAGACCTGGTTTTAATGAATACATAAATGGGGTTGATGTGCACTTTTAAAGAAAACATGGACTCGCAAGGGTTCTAGCTAGGGAATTAATACTGCATGAAAGTAAATATTATCTATAGAAAATATGGTGATTTATTAGTCCTATTTACTTAAATGGACTGCAGAAAGCACACACATTAGGGATGATAGGGTAGAAAGATGCTACGGCTGTCCCCACTTCAATCGATATGAAGTGCATTTTCCTGAACTTTGATACTGATGTTTCACACATTCAATTCAAGAATATCGACGAGGACTTAGTGAATCAGGTTTAATGACTCATTCTACAGATTATTCACAGAGAAACCGAAAGTCTAGTATAGCACAGAAATTAAAAAAGCCTATGGAGAGCAAAATTCAAGTCACGTATGAATTTTTACATAACCAATACGCAGACCACACTTAGTAACGTACCCAACTATGCCACTCATAATAAGATGACCTGTAAATTTGAATGGTCCCGAAGCCTTGAAATTTAAAGTTCAATGTACAACATTCAATCACCTGATTCAAAAGGTTATAGAAGATTCAGAACAGAGTAGAAGAAGCTTTCACTTAACGAGCCTCCGTATCTAGTAGCAGTGGATCAACGATGTCTCCAAGTAGGGGCCTGGGTATATTTGACAGTGAAAGAGAAATAATCTGTAAACCATATTGAAGTGTAGTGGTAAATAAATCCCCAAAATAAATAGCTCTTTAAGTTTTCGACATTGGATGCCGACCACATTAGTTTTAATGGGCTCATCTAGCTGAAGGTGCTCGGTCATGCATCCTCATCAGATCACGAGTGGGAATGCCGTGCTCAACAACCCCTGCAATCGCTAGCCAGATTAGATCAGACGATCCTCTATATATGCATTATTATTATTCACAGACATCTTATGGTACATAGGTGTTGTGAAGAAACTATTTCATGTTTCTTCAAAAACGGAATACTACACAAGTTTCAATAATGTTAGCATTATATTTGCCATATTGAAAAAGAGAATAATAATAATAATAGAAGGATAACAAATCAGGTTTTATGTAATTGAGAAGAATATTGGATTGAGTTTAAAGATGGAAAAGAAGAAAAAAGGGAATAGAAATAAAGGAGACGTGAAATAGGCAAATAGTTTAATAGGCGTGTTTATGAACACAGAATAACAATAAACGACTATGTATGTATCGTTAAATTAGTAAAATAAAATAGAAAATATTTAATAAAAATACCTTATTATTGCAGAAAGATGCGATGCTAGAATAAATGTTTGTGCAGTCATAGTTTGGAGTGATTCTATGAAAGTCTCAATTAAGTGAAAAGGATAACCAAATATCAATATTTGTGAGTCATATATGCACAGTGAAGATAAAACAAGTCTGAGGAGTTAATTTAAGTGTGATACAAGTTATTGTCTTAATAACAAACTTCGAAATCATAAGGAAAGTATTTACTTAGGAGGAAAAGCGAGAGAGAAAAGAAATGAACACCTAGTGAAAGGGTCCAACAATGATAATGATAATCGTGTAATGAATGTCAACCTCTGAAGTTAATCAGCAACTAAAAAAATAAAATAAAACAAATAAATAAACAAATAAAATAAAAACTCCTTCACTACGCCAGGATAAATACATGTAGATTTATGTAATAGTGTACAGAGTGAAATCGGATATGAATTTATGATAGCCTATGAAATATATTTTCGAGCCTCCTCGCTCCTGTCTTTTGATTGCACTTGGTAGGTAGGATTCACATTAGAAAGTGTAACTGGTTGAAACGATATCAAGCTCAGAATACCTGTGGCATTTTCAAGGGTAGTCCTCAATAATATGTTAAGTTTCCCTTTAAATGACTCTTGAGGAGTCTCATCGATGAGCTCAACCGGCAGCGAATTCCGTCATTTGACTACTCGTAAAGAGCAAAAGGTGTGCCTACAGTCCGTTCTGCTGTGTTGTGTCCCCAGTTTATGAGTGTTTCCCCCAAATGTTTTGTTGGGACTGAGCTTAAGTAGGTGTTTAAGGGGGGAACCCAGAAGTGTTTGGGATTCTGTAAGTCATTAGAAAGTCACCTCTAAGAAGCCTATACTCTAGTGGGCAAAGGTTTATTGATTGAAGGCGCTCTTCACAAGTCCTGAATTTGATTTCCCGAACTAATTTCATGGATTGCCGTCAGATACGTTCCAATGTATCCTCATCGTTTTAGAGTAGGGGAAAGAACACTATATTTCCATACTCGAAACGGGGGCGAATAAATCTGTTGAGGATTAAGTGGGAAGTTTCATTATCAAACTGGCCGAAAATGAGCCTCAATGTTAACAGTTCAAGGCTTGCTCGAGAGGCGTTTTCAGTACAGTTAACTTATGGCTCTAGATGATGTGGCACCAACACTTCTAGATCTTCTTCAACTTGGGATACCTCTAGAGAGGAGTTACCAAAGTTATATTTATGGCCTGTAACACGTCTCAGATGACTATTTTACACTTTGAAGTCGAGTTAGATCTTCCTGAAGTGCCAGCTTATCATCTTGGTCGCAAACTTCTCTTCCGAATTTCACCTCGTCAGAGCGAAGCAGTAGGTTGGGAGACACTTATTGAGGAAGGTCATTTTTATAAGTTAAGGAAAGAAAAGCCCTTGGTACTGATATTTGGTGGGCTCCACTAAGTCATTCCATAATCTGAAGAATAGGGAAGTTTACACTGTCGGTTATTTGGATATGAAGTCACTTGATACCTAATAGTTTGAGCTTATTGATGAGGCATATATGATTGACCTTATCAAAAGCTTTTAAGAAGTCAAAGTATGTGACATCAACCTCCCCTTTGTGATCAAGGTTCGTTGTCCATCTGTCAACCGCAGTCAGCAGGTTGATTATACGAAGAGGATCGTTTCTGAAACCGAACTGTTGGAATGAAAAGTTTATGGATGGTAAATAGTCACGTGGACCGTCACACAACACGCATTCCATGATTCTTGAGAGTATTGAGAGAAGTGCTGCCGTTCGTTAGCTTGACTTAAAAGTTAGTGTAGTGTGAGCCAGTTTACAACAGCAAATGTAAGAACATCACACTAAGCGGCTTTGTCAAGATTGAAGCTGCTTCACTCAGTATAACAGAATGGACCATATTTGTGCCCGGAGAAAATTCCTTGTTTAGGTGATGTAGTTTCTGACACATCAAGTCAGTGCTTAGGTTCACTTCTGAGAGTTCTGTTTAGGTGCAGGTGAAGCTCTCGTCGATTTAGTTAGTATGAAATGGTTGTTTGGAAATACTTTTCTGTCAGAAGGTCGGCGACATCATTATCATTGCTAGTTGGACCATTAAGACCAGACAACTGGTAAGCTATGGTTTTGGCTTATCGACGGGAGGCTGCATGACAGAATGAGGTTTTCGGACTGAAGAAAAGTTTATCGTCTAGCTTTATTTGATGCTTAAGCTTGCCTTACATTTCGCCCAGTTTTGCCTTTTGCGTCTTGGCATTCAAAGATTGTGATTCTTGGTGACTGTATTTTGCTTGTAATTTTTGGGAACTGTTTTTGGGACAGGCTGCTTTGTAGCACATAAGATCGTGTGCAGTACGAAACCTCAATGAGCATCCACATCACGTTAAGGATGAACTTCACAGTCCACATGCTGTACATTGATCTGTAAAGCTAAAACATCCGAACATTTGAAATTCCAGCGCCTGTTGTCAATAGGATGTTTCAGCTCGGTTTTACTGATAAAATCGAAAGGCTGGAAATCGTATTGTTAGTCGTGTTAGATCGTGTGCTTGCCCTACGTTTAGCTGGACGCCTGACTGCAGGAACTCCTAGGTTTTCTTGAGGCGTGATCGGGAAGTGATTAGTCGAAGATGTATAGGTGGCGAAGTATTGAGGTTGAAACAGTTGTGCGAAAACCATGGTGAAGTGCTCAGGGTAATTCTGAGATCAAGACCTATGTTCGAAACAAGTGTGAGAATATGATGGGCGATAATGAAGACGAAAAATGCAAGGGAGGAAGATGATATGGAGTTCGTTCTAGAGTTGAAGTATATGAGTGTTTGTTTAGATGTAAGATGGAATGAAAATTTGAGTTGATTGAATTTAAACCTGGCATTTAATTTCAAAAATATGCCTCATATGCCATGTAGCTTTTTGCATCCGTTTGTGGGAGAATATAATGCCGCCTTTTACTATCTTGTTGAATGCATATAAATTTGCAGATCTGTCATCATTCCCATTCCTTTGTCCCAATCCATATCTTCCCATGAAATTTTCATACCCGACGTTGTCCATTCCGAATTTGGCTTTGCCATAGCTTACCATTCGGCTTTTACGGTTTTTCATATCGAAGCTTGTTTTAGTATATCTTAAGTTTCTATACGTACCATTTTTATCCGTTTTATTCAGTTTTAGTGTATTATCTTTCCATGGTCGTAAATTTTTGCAAAAAATTTTTTAGCAACTTAGATCATTAATAAAAACACATGTAAGCGACCTAGGCTCTCTTTTGCTATCACCTGTGGTATACATTGTGACAAATACAAAGGTTGGTTCCACGAAGCATGCACAGACCTTACAGCAGCTGCTTACTACAAACCTAGCAAGTCAGATAGCAGTCTGGTATGTGGCACATGCAACATGAATGCTGAGGATTTACTGAGCAACATCAAAATTCTCTTGACAGGTCTGCGAAAACATCAGCAGCAATCCTGATAAAAGGCAGTCTCGAAACGTATAAACAAATAAAGACGCTCAGTAAAGTTTAGAGGGTCTTCAACAAAGTAATATTTATGGGACATGCAGCAAAAATAATGAGGGTATGCTGAAACTTAGCAGCTGTGGTCTCATGGTCTCTTACTGTAGGCAGATGGACCCATGCAAACAGAGTTATACGAGATCGAATGTCACCACTGAAAATGCTGAACAGCCGAGTTCACGTAAGAAAATCAGCTATTGAATTGTCTGTGTAATCGACCTGCAGGATTGTCCAACCAGTTAGCAGAGGGTATTTTGATGCCGACGTGTCTTTTAACGGTACGGGTATGGGTCATCACGTGCATCTGTCTATAAATGTTAGTAAATGCATATAACCATATATACAGACCATATTCTGAGCGCAATAGAATCAGGAACATCCCTAAGGAATCTCATGAGACGTTTTTTCGTTGTAGTATTATGGCGACTGCCGCTCTCGTAGCACTTCGCTCCAACAGACCTCGGTTATCAACTGGAATCCACATGCATCCGGACAGGTCATTTGATGCAAGGATGAAGCACAGAGGCAAACTGGAAGAAGGACAAAACTTAGGGGGACAAGGCTGTCAACTTAGAATACCCTGTGCATGTAGGTTTCCTGTCCATTCACATAATCCTCATTCAGATAAACAGAACAAGGAAGCTAACGCGTTTCAAATCGAGAGCACTAACTACCTGTATGCGAACCCCGCAATTGTGCCGAACAAAATGGATGAGTCGCGTGAACTAAGTAATGCTAGTAGCAC